TAAAAGGCCAAGTTCAATTCCAGAACTAGAAGAGATTACGGTAGTTGGAATGTTCCGGGGAGCGGAAGTTTCGAAAAGGTGTGCTGTGGATGAGCAAAAGTGTACGTATTTGTATTATATACTTGTGTGTATATGTGTGTGTTTATAAAAATAAAGGATAAAAGATAAAGTACTGTGGCTTCAATTAATCCCGTCAGAGTGATGCGTCCACGCAGCCGACTTCCATTGAGAATCGTAGTGGCGTACTGAGGTGAATGCTATATGACCTATACAATGGCTTGCGGTGGCCAGCCAAAGTACAAATCAGTACTTTTATCCTCCCAGATGAGTCTGGAAGCAATTAACCGAATCTGGAGGGATGAATGGTCTGGTTGGCCAAGGCGAATATTGAACAGGGATTTGAACCTGTGATGATGCGTATGTGAAGTGCGCCACTTGCAACTACACCACCTCCGCACTATCTGTATATATGGATATGTATATGTATAATATACGTATATGTAAATGTAAATGTATATGTATACGTATATGTATATGTATATATATACATATACATATACGTATGTATGTATACATACGTATACGTATATATATGAATAGGTATATATAATATATGTGTATACAGTAGCGCTCAAAAAGGATCGGTCAAACGCTTTCATCCTTGTTCGTTCATAACATTTTTATTAGTGGAGCAAATCGCGCGAAATTTTGATACGTTCAGCTAGGGCATATTCACACTATCCAACACTATTTGATTGTGAAGCAGCAATATCCACATAATCAGAATAAGAGTGCAGCAGCAGATTTCGCTAAAAGCAAAGTTTGTGACGTCTTCTGTTATTCGGACCTTATACACGTTTCTCTTCTCTTCTGGGTTCGGCGTTAGAGCTCGTACACTTTAGACATGACACAAAGGAATGAGATTCTAAAAGGACCATCATCCGTATTTCCAACTGATCTTTTGTTCAAGCCTTCTGGACAATATGGATCATGATCAGATTGCAGGTTAATAGTGGTAAATATTCACAACACACCCATGCTACACATTCGAAATTTCGCGTGATTAGATCCAGTACGAAGGGTAACGGAACTTCTCCCCTATCGCGGCATTCTCCCTTGCGGCATGCGGCAAATGTCACTGCAATTGCCGTACTTACCCCGCCTCCCGCCAATCGATAGGACGCGATATTTTTCCTTGACTGGCTTGCTTTTTCATTCGATTTTGTCGTTTTTCCTTCTGTTTCTTTTTAGTTTTCATGTTTATTAGAATTGATTAATGAAAATGACTCCTCCTATGTAGGCGGCGATCAAGACTGCGTTGAAATTGAAGGAAGCGGTCAGCCAATTCAAATAATTAAAGGGCTCCCTACCTCACAAATTGCGCGCTTCAACTTCCATCGCAATTCTGCGGTTGGCGGCGGCTGCGGCGTGTGCGACGCCGTGTTAGGGGAGATGTTCCCGGACCCCAGTACGAAAGGAGTTACGACTGAAAAGAATGACTGAAGAAGCATTTCACTGAAAACTTTTGAGCACTACTGTATATATATGTATATGTATATGTATATGTATGTAGATGCATACAAAGATCTTCTTCTTTTTCTCCCTAGCTTGATCGTCTCTTCTTTGAGGCTCTTCGTGGTCGTTCTTCATAAGCCTCGAATTCCACTGTCTACCTTATCGGATGATTCTGTGGTCTTCTCCGTACATGTCCGAACATCTTCGATGCTGCTACTCCATCTTGCGCTGGACAGGGAATGTTTGCAGGGTCATCCTGAAGTCTTCGTTTCTGATCCGGTCGAGTCGCATCCAATCGCCGGCCCACCTCAGCATCCTCATTTCAGCGCTATTAGACAGATCTTTCACGGTTTCTACTTACGGGCCAACACTCGCTGCCGTAGAGCATCGTGAGCTATACCACTGTCCCATATACCTTTCCGTTTAGCGTCCTGGCGAAGAATCTTTTGTCAGTGGGTACCACTGAAATCTCTTTTCATTCATGTCCGATGTATTCGAGCGTTTGCAGCAAGGCCCATGCTACCGTCAGCGGTCAAACTTTCTGCACAAATCAGGAGCCCTATACCTTTTCGGTGGCTTACCTAAAACCATCTACGATGGATTCCATGCACTCATCGGAGATGAGAATCCTGGTTCTCTTCCCGTTCAACCTAAATCCGTTTTCCGCCTGCACCATCTGTCCTTTCTGCAGCTTGGCCTGAAGTCTTCCTCTAATCTCTGTCACCAGAGCGATGTCACCCGCATAGAGTGTATGCGTGTCATCTTCATTAGTCTATCCATGATTCCTTTTGTGGTCACGTTCTATGGTAGCAGGAAGAGGAATGGGCTTAAGACTGAACCTTGGCTTACCCAAGCGCGACTTCTATTGCTTCTTTTCGGTCGTGAGAAGTGCTTACCGTTGTCTCGAACTACTACTCATGACTCACCTCAACCTTCGACCGACTAACAGCTTCCACAGTTCATCTTGCGCCCAGTCAAGTAGAATCGACAGTAATTGGAACATCCCATCGCATCTCCCTTCTAGAGTGGTTGTGGTAAAGTGTTGTTTAGGATAGAGAGCGAAACCCATGACTCGATGCACCAAGAAAAGATATTCGTAGTTCACCGTGCGAGTTCACTTACCAATTAGTGGTTGCGTAGTGAAAGGGTTCACTTTTGAATGCTTGAAGTTGATTGAGAGTCACTATTAAAGGGATTGTGCACATCTTGATGTGAATNTGCGGCATGTGCGACGCCGTGTTAGGGGAGAAGTTCCCGGATCCGGAACATTCCATCGCATCTCCCTTCTGGAGTGGTCGTGGTAAAGTGTTGTTGAGGGTAGAGAGCGAAACCCATGACTCGATGCACCAAGAAAAGATATTCGTAGTTCACCGTGCGAGTTCACTTACCAGTTAGTGGTTGCGTAGTGAAAGGGTTCACTTTTAAATGCTTGAGGTTGATTGAGAGTCACTATTGAAGGGATTGTGCACATCTTGATGTGAATACTTTACCAATTTCACTGATTAGCGTTCTTTGTCTCTAACACAACCTACGGTTGTCCCGAACGTCAAATCTTTTTGTGATGTGGAGTGGAGCGTAGTTCACAATAAATAACTATTGTGATACCTTTTAAGGCGTTCCACGCGTCCAAGTAATCAAACCTAGGTGACGACTACTGGTATGCAAAAACTGATTGCATGTTTCATCTCGATTGATGGTTTCTGCCACTCTCCCGCTATTTTCGATTGACTCATACTCAGCAAATGATGAACGTTGAAACTGGAACAACAAAACATGAAGGAATCCGCCAAGGGAATTGTCTCACTGCCTGCCTCATATTCAACGCGGATTCTCAAAATATAACAAGACAACTGACTTGATTACGGATTTCTAAAAGGAATAAATCGGTCCTGGCGTCGATTTATTGGAGCCTGTACAGTGACTTGTCTCACTCCAAATCCTCTGCAACAAAAGCTGTAGAAGTAGACGAGTTTAACTAGTTTCATAGATGAAGCTAATGTGTTGCAAAGCTTCAAGCGGGGCGGTGTTGCCTGATGGACTCAAAAGGCGCCTGTCATCATTTTACGACCATAAAATTAACGACTCTACAAGCACCTTATCTTACCTACAGCCGCTAGAATATTCACGCATTGGTCGTGAGATCACTTCACGTAATCGATTGATCTCATGAATTTCTCCTTCTTGATGATGGTTTATACGGAGTCTTCATTAAAAGCTGGGATATCTATTCAACGAGTGATGTAGCCCTACCAATTTCAATGAGGTGATCAAGTGACTGCTTCCTGTATTGGTACTTTTTGAGCATTCCTCTGAAACTGTCTACAATCTTCCCTAACATGACCATATGGGAAGGAAGATCTCAGCTGCATTGGAGTAGTTTCATTCTGATTCATTCTGGTCGACTTGTTATCAGTCGCAACTTCGATCGCGTCAATGGTAACAATCGAAAAACTACTAGAACGCCTTGTATTATTGCTTTATTTCCTTGATTCCAAAGTTCCGTATATTCTCGAGTATCTGAAATACTTGAAGGTCTCAGTATGCGTACTTTAAATGTTTTTGAAGTTCGTTCATTTTAATAGAGTCGATTTTTCGGTAATTCTCTATTGTCTTATATGGGAAATGAGTTAAAGATGACGATGTTGACTGCAAGATATCAATCGCAAATTTAATTTTAAAAAAAGTATAGCCATCTTTTTCTTGGATTAGGAAAATGCCTTTTTCTTTATCAGAGCGTTTTCATTCAAATATCATCGTTGGAATGGCAGATTTTTGCAATCATTCGAGTGCTCGAGGAAATGCTCTCAAAATTGTTAGGCATACTGCTTGCTTCTGTCACTTGTATCCGTGACAGTATCAGTAACTACTATTTAGTATATTACAGTACTTGATTCGACACTCTAATTCTTTTCAAAAGTAGTCCTTGTACGCTCAAATATCTCCAAAGAACTCCTTCCGTTCGGGAAGCCGTTAAAATAAAGTCAGATCACACTGAAAGCTCCATCCAGGATCACTCCTCAGGCGATAGCTAGTAGCATAACGCTTTGTTTATTGGTCGGCATGGAAAACTGTCACTCTTATAAAGCGTTTATCAGGATGCCTCACCTGTTCGAAAAAAAATGTTGTATTTCGAAATCCGACTGACTATCCCAATTTTTGGATGCTAATGTTGAATGACAGTTTTTCGTTTTTTCCAGTTCCTTTTCATTCTTGGCCCTCTTTCTTTTCTCGGCTTTGTTTTCGTTTATTTACTTCGCCCATGTTTGGGTGGGCATATCCTTTAGATGTATGAAAATAAAGTAAAATAAAATGACGCATTGCTCTAATATAGAGGTATGTCACAGAAGCCATTATTTACAACTGCATTTGGTACATACTTTCGTGCTATTATGTTGGCAGTGAAGCCAATCTTCGAGTTTCTCCCTTTTTTACAGTATACCATTTTCGCCATTGTTCTCAGCTCATTCAATGCAGCTGATAGAGCGATGACTCTGTTACGGATAATATTCTTACTGCTGATGTCATCTCGCATGAGATCCGAGCAGTTCTGTGGTTAGTTATTCACAATCAGGTACAACTTTATGTTTACGGAGCTTCTAGGTTAAAACGGGTGTGATTTTCTGAGACTCATACTCTATTTCACGTCTGTGTGTTCTGAAATAAATTCTTCCCCTTCCGCTTCGGAAATTCCTGGGTTTGGAAATCTATCCGTTGTCTGACAACTTTCAGAATTCCACTCTTAGATCAGTAAAGAAGGTGGGGCCTCAGATTAGAGACTCAAACGGTCAGAGTTCTCTACAGTGGCTTCCTACAATCTTGTGAACAGCTACAGACAACCTCATTCGACGCTAATGAAATTTCTTTTTTTGAAGTGCGCATTTTTGCTTTCGAAATTTTCACTTGCCAGTGAATGGGTAAATGGACGTTCATGTCAGAATCTTTCTCTCCTACTTATCCGAGGTCACACTCATTTTCGAATCCTGCCTTTTAATTTGTTTTGTTCTCGCAAACCGTAAAATTGCAGGCATATTCGCATATCCATATTGCACAAGATTCCATAATCGTTCAAAGGTACATTTCACGTGAAATAGTTTCTGAGATTTCTCCCTTGAATGAACCTGTGACCTCCAAGGATAGCTTAAGGGATGCTGTCGAGTCGAAAAACGACCTAAATAGGGCGTAACAAGTGCGCTAAACTGGCTTAGCCAATGTACACATCCAAGGCGGACGAGTTTTTCAGCGTTGTAAACGCTGTAGAGGTTGCACCATTCCCATTGGGACCCCTGCCATCAAATTCTCGTCACCACTTTTACTTAATTCTGGTCTAACACTTCCACTATTGTCTAAAACTAGATACCCCAAAGTTATCGTGAACTGTATCTTTAAATACCGAACAACATGAAGTATGCATGTCTCTGGGTGGAGGTACTTCATCGGGGCGAAGATCCCACACCTTACCTCCCTCACTTGATGGCGCGTTCCAGATAAAAACCGCGTTATTTAATAAATCGTTCCAAAATGGTCTTTTCCAAGGCCGCCTCACCTCCTCCACTCTTTTTTTACAATTTTTTTTTGCAAAGCTCAGATCATTCAGCGACTGATGGAAGCGATCCCACTCCGACATGGGCGCCATCAGATACCTGCACTGATGATGCTTTTGCCAATATTAAAGTACCTCCTGTGCTCAACAGTTCTGCACAGACCTATGTGAGTTCCATGTTTCATAATTACGGTAGTAAAGTTCTGCTCTTGCAGAAACCACCATAGCGTTTATACTGATCAAACAATCTGTCAGATACGTGCTACTTCTCACTCAGTCCTTCAAGGAAGCTCTTCATAAAATGCTAGCTATTTCAGGTTCAGCACGATTGTGGCATTGCCGTGATTCTTGACTTGGATCGAACCTACACTACCGATGAGGGTTTTTACGACGTTCGTCTTTTCATTAGTGACACCATCGCAGGATGCATGTCCCGAGGAATTGGCTACAGAACCTTCATTTATCCAATGTTTAACTCGGTAAGTGCTTTTCACAGACTTGGCCTGGATATGACTGAATAATTTTTATCTAGTCGATTCGAACGGTATGTTGTGCTGAGGAAGTGTGCAGTCAGCAGATCGAGCTGATGAATTACGATGACTACGTCGTCAGCTACGATTCGACATCACTTTTTACGACGTTCGTCTTTTCATTAGTGACACCATCGCAGGATGCATGTCCCGAGGAATCGGCTACAGAACCTTTATTTATCCGATGTTCAACTCGGTAAGTGCTCTTCAAAGTTTTGGCCTGGATATGACTGATTAATTTTTACCTAGTCGATTCGAACGGTATGTTGTGCTGAGGAAGTGTGCAGTCAGCAAATTGAGCTGATGAATTACGATGACTACGTCGTCAGCTACGATTCGACATCACCTCTCCAGAATGAGACCAGCAAGGCGAATTTCACATATGCTCTAGTTGGTTTGGTGAGTGACGCGTAGAGAAATACCATGAATAAGGCACCTACATCTGTCTGTCTGCCTGTCTGTCTGACTGGATGTCTCTCTGTTTGTCTGTCTGTCTGTCTGTCTGTCTGTCTGTCTGTCTGTCTGTCTGTCTATTTCTCTTTTCGTCTGTCTGAAAGAATTTGAAGGAGACCCACCCGCGGTGGGCGGAGAGACTTTTGAGACACTTTCGGTGCATACGAACAAATTTATTGGTCGGTTTCACCGATGCCTGGTGGCTTCATAAACAGTGTAGCAATAGGCAAGGATCAAGGTGTGCTGAACATGCCTGAAATAATCTCACGCCGTCGCTTCTGCGGGTTGTAGTCTTCTTCACATTACATAATGATAGTATCGCGTACCGCTTTTGAGAAAGAGACGGGGACTTAACAGACGGGGTCTTAACAACTATCTACTGTTCCCTCGCTGGCAACAGCTATCTCCTTTTTCCTCGTCATGTCACGAAGACTGGATGCTGTCGGTGCGATAACTCAATTTCGAACAAAGTATTATTCAACATTCCGAGGGAGGTAACGAGTTTTTCTGTCATGATGGCCCCCATCACCACTGTCATGTTAAACAGTTTTACAACTTGACGAAGCATTCTGATCGTCCTGGTCATTCAACTTTCCCTTACAGACTTGAGGTTTGTAAAGGCCATGTGTAAAATATTCCAAGAGCAGTTCCCTTTCATCAGAGATACCATCTCAGGTCCATATCATGGAAAGAGGAACAGAAAGGTTTTGTAATGCCTCGGGTTTCCATGAAGGACGCAAAATATTCCTCTTGCTCTGACAACAAACTTCCCCATCCATTAGACAAGAGTCAAGATGAGCTCGCATCACTTCCCGTTCGAATCCGATGCACACTTGATGGGATCCGTGTCAGGTGTATGTGCCTTTGCAATGGCCATTTCTTCTCCGTATATAGCGTACGAATTCATGAATAATGTTGTAGAACGTCCTTGTTCATGAATTCGCGCAGCTTGTATGAAGCACAGATTCGTAATGGGCACTTAGAGCTAACCAAATGTTACACATTTGTTCCTGACCCTCACTCCAACCTATCGTCCTTCCAGTTGGAGGCACAATTGCGTTTTCTAAAAATCTAAAGGAAAAAGCATTCCAGATGAAGCAGTTCGCTCAGCCAAACACTAAGTGTCTTTATAATACAATTGTGCTGTTGACTAATCGGGTATTTGTCACCGATCAGGAAATGCTCGGGAAAGTGGGTTTCTAGCTCATTCATAAAATCATTAACAATCGAATTTAGCATATTTTCGCCTTTGCAGGATGTCGCGAATATCGTCAATTACGGCTGTATCACATTTACTGTTATCGCTCTTGGTAACACTGGTATCACCCAAGAACTGCTATATCAATACTATTCATCGTATACTCAACGCCTCTTCGTCGTCCCTGGCTATAACTGCATTACCAGACTAGACGTATGTTCATATGGAGGGTCGCTCAAGCCATTGGCTAAAAACATGAATACGACACAGGCGACTGTCAAGTAGTTATTCATCGTAATGCGGACCAACTAGACCTTTGATAGTTCCCTCAAAAATTGGCTTAGGTTCTCACCCTGACCAAGGAGGGGTA